CCAGCCGAAATATGACATACATAGGACAATTTTCATTCATGTCCAGAGACCCATCCTGACTATGCAGAGCATGTGTGTGCCCAAGATCCAGAGCTTGCTGAAGCTAGGGACAGATGACAGCATCAAGACCCTCTTAGGGAGCCAGCTCTGTGGCACAGCAGTAATGCACAGCTCAAGAGAACTTGAATTCCCCACACGGTGACCATGGTTTGAATCCCCTGTGCACCAGGCACACATGAGTGCCCAAAAGCCAGTGGGCGAGAGGACTAGAAGAGGGTGTGCATGCCATGACCAGACCCTGTGAAGGATGCTCATTCTTCTCTCTCTCATGATTGTGTATACACTCTACCACGAATAAAGAAGAAAAAAGCATATATTTAAATAAAAACCTCTTGAGGGTGCTGTCTCTCAGTACCAAGGAAGAAAGAAAGGAGGAAGAAAGGCAGGCAGGCGGGCAGGCAGGTGGCATGCAGCTGGGCCAGACATCAGTATATAGGGATTTTATTTAGCTTTTTTTTTTTTTTGGCTACCGGGCACGTGCACTGGCTGGAGACATAGAGTGAGACAGAGAGAGAGAGAAAGTGAGAAAATGTATTGATACATGCCACAATGTGGATGAATCTAAAAACATTAGGTAAACTGAAAGAAGTCCAATGCAAAAGGCCATACATGGGATAATCCTGTTTATGTGAAATATTCCAAAGAGGTAAATCCACAGAGACAGAATGCAAATTGGAGGTTGCTAGTGCTGGGTGACCCAAAAGGCTTATAATGTCAAAGGCAGAAGAAATTATATTTTAATCTCTTCTGAGCAAATATCTGTGACTGTACCCTGCAAAGTATCATCCTAAGAACAGATGGAATGGTGTAAGATCAGCTGAAAGTCAATGGGTGCTTTAGGCAGAAAGGCAGTGCCCCTGCAGGTCAAAGGGCACAATATACAATAGCAGACAGTAACAACCTGCCCAAACTACACTGCTTCACACAACCCGAAGAAAACTCATCCTTTCATTCAAGACAGTGCCCGCTATATGTCAAATATATTCTCTGTCCTCAAGTACTAAATATGTATACCACAGAGCTGTATGCAGAAGCAACACAACTTCACAAGATTTGGAATCATTTCCATAAACTTTCCCAGGAAATTCATTCATTAAAGTTACGACCATATTGAATCCTTTTCTTAACCCCACTACATAATCAGTACCAGGGGCAGCATGAGAAAGCAGTGAGAATATATACACATTCTTGTTCTATACTTCACTTTGCAAAACTGAATTATTTAAATCCCAAAAAAGAAAATAAAACATGTGGCAATAACAAATGATGATCAAGGATTTGTTCACAAAGTAAGCTGCCATTTTTTCTGACACTTACCAAACCAGCAGTAAGAGAAGGTGCAGACTGTCCAAGAGTCTGGTTTCTCATTCGAACCAGGTTTGACGCTTCTCCTGAAGACTGCCAAGCCACTTGTCCCACACTGCCGTGTACACTGCTGGACAAAGGGAGCAGCTGCTTACCTTCAAACACAAGATGTGGGAAATACACATGTAATTATTTATTGATAAATGAATAAAAATACAAATACAATGATATCAAATGATAAAATCATATGAATACAAACCAAAAGTCCTCCATATAACATTTTGGAATCTATAATCTTCTGAAAATTTCAACTATCTTAGCAGTAATAAAAATTGCAAGAGGAATACTGAAATGAACAGACTTTTTTTTTAAGTTTGCTATAAGGCTTGTGTGCTCACTGGACAGAGACAATGGAAGGTTGGGAAGGAGTAAGAAATCACCACCCTGCGGGTATGGCCACTGCGTAATCCCCTCTCTTCAGTTCTCCCCTTCAGACTTTGAGCACACACAGATGCCTGGCATGTTTTTCAAGCTACTGGATCCAAGACTCAAATCATGCAGTCGGCCATGTAGGATCCGTCTACCTTAACTACACGACATGACTGGCTCATGAATGGACTATTTTAAGTTCTCCGTAATAGTCACCACCAGGCCAGTCTCCTACCCTGACATCCAACCTAGAAATCTAGGAGTTTTCCAATCTCATTCAGTCCACTCAGTTTCTCACCTACAAAATGCAACATGAGTGGTACTGTTATAATAAGGTCTAGACAACTGTCCTTACAACTCCAGAAAGCAAAAACTGAATCTGTACAGTCCTCACAAGACTGTGTGCTGAGCTCAGGTTTACTACTGCCTTTATCTCATTGAAAACTACAAGGGAATTACTTAAAAAGATTGAGTGCCACCAGCAGGTGGCATAATGGTTAGGTGCACTGGACCCCCACATGGACAACCACGGTTCGAGTCCTGGACCTGGCAGTTTACTTTCTCTCTCTCTCTCTCACTCTGTCCTTTCTGGTGAAATATAAATACATACATACATACATACATACATAAAGTTAAATAAAATAATTGGAAAAAAAAGATTGAGTGTCTAGAACTGTAATGACTTTCTTTTTTTATTTCTTAGGATTATTTTAATTTTTATGTATTCATTCATTTATTTTAATTTGACCAGAAAGAGACACAGAGAAAGGGAGAAAGATAGAGAGGGAAAGTGAGAAAGCAAGTCACCAGGTCCAGGACTTGAACCATGGTTGACTATGTGGGAGTGTCTAGCACCTTAAACACAATGCCACCTGCTAGTCCCTGTAACGACTTTCTAACTGAGATACAAGTCCCATTCCTTCCCTTTCTTAACATCATTCTCACACTGCTGCTAGTGATCCAAAATAAATGTGGTGGTGTTATTTCTTTCCTTAAAAACTTCTTGGGGGCCAGCAGGTGGCAAGGTGGTTGAGGTGCTAGATTCCCTCATGGCCAACTGTAGTTCAAATCCTGGACCCAGAGGCTTGAAAATCACAACAAATAAATAGATAAGTGAATGTTTAAAAAAAAAAAAAAACCTTCATGGAACCAGCAGATAGTTTAATGGTTATATCACTGGACTCCCATGTAGTCGACCATAGTTCGAGTCCCAGATCCAGTGGCTCAAAATTAATCCCTAGAGCATGTGCATGTATGCCCAAAACCCTGAGAGAACATAGAAGAAGGGATTGCAGTGTGACCATCCCCCCTGAGGGGTGATTTCTCACTTTCTAACTTTCTATCTCTCTGTCTCTCCAGTGAGCACAAACTTCTGTAGCAAAAATATCTCTTTTAAAAAAAAATTCTGATGGTGGGCAAACAGATGGCCTCATAGTTAAGGTGCTGAATTCCCACAGGGCAGACCATGATTCAAATCCTGGAATGGGTGGCTTCAAATTCGTACCAGATACATGTGCATGCGTGCCCAAAATCCCAAAAGGAGACTAGAGAAAAAGGCAGGGTGCAGGATGTACTCCAAGGATTCATGTGTTAGGACTTGATTGTCCTGACTTCCCATACATCCTCCACAAATAATAATGATGATGATAATGATAATTTTCTACTCAAAACTTGCACAAGCCCAGCGAATAGAGCCTATTTTGTTTCCTTCATGCTGTAAATGTTTGGTTTTCAACCTACATACTCTTCACCTGCATGTTCTACAGGCAGGCTAGCTTGTTAACTTATCCTATGAATACATACAAAGGCTAGTATCTTAACTCTCTTTGAAAAAGGGCCTGTTGGGACCAGCAGATGGTGTAATGGTTACGTCGCTGGACTCCCACATAGTCGACTGCAATTCGAGTCCTGGACCCGGTGGCTTAAAACTCATGCTGGGCTTCTGTGTGCGCATGTGTGTGCATGCATGCCCAAAATCCTGAGAGGAGAACAGAGTAGAAGGGATTCCAAAGTGGCCATCCCCCCAGGGGGATGATTTCTTGCTTTCTGTCACTCTAGTTCTATCTCTCTGGTGAGCGCATGTGCCCTGTAGCAAAAACCTCTCTACAAAATAAGGGAGAAAAAAAGAAAAAGGGCCTGTTGGGGAATAAAAGCTTATACAACTGCAGAAGAAACCTATTTGGGCATATTCCAGTGAGGGCTTAAAGCATATGAAGGACTGCCAAGAATCTGAGGGAAACATAGCAGAAGGAACCATATGAACAAGTACAACTACTAGCCTTTTAGTAACAACACACACAAAAGAAAACCTCTTAAAAATTCTAGTACTATTCCTACAATAATTCAAGCATAAAATATTCCCAGTTAAAGATGGCAGACTGAGCATATGCTTTCATCTTTATTCCTCCAGGAAACTCCATAAAAATGAGCGTAAAGAAGTAAAATAAATGAACTAACAAGGACTATAATAAGAGACAGAAAGATAGACACCGATTATGCAGAAGTAAAACAATTCTGATCTCATTTCCTCTCCTTATATACCCGCAAGAACTCAATCATAGGTGCCCATGCTAATGACATTGTCGCCAAGGCTCCACCGTGGGACACCATGAAGGAATTAGGTTTTCAATGAACACATCTAATGACTAAAAGTCATCTTAGTCCATTATTGTTGGTGGAAATGCCTGGGACTGGGTGAATTGAGGTTTATAATGAACGACGATTCTGGTGACTGGACAGTGCAAAGGCATCACAGAACAGAGGAAGGAGAACCCTGAGCAGAGCAGAGTGAGCATGGTCTGTATCTACACGGCCTTCTCGCTCCGTAAAATAAATGAACAGACAGGGCTATAATAAGAGACAGAAAGGTAGACACTGACTATGCAGAAATAAAAATATCTGGGGAAAATCTAAAGCAGATAAGTGGACCATACCCAGAACAAATGTTACAAAGAAAAGTACAAGCTATAATAGGCATATAGGGGAGCAGCAGGGGGCAGGGTAGCTAAGGCACTGGTTTCCCACACGGACAATCGCAGTTTGAATTCCAGAGCAGGAGGCTTGAAAAACCACGTTGGGCACATGTGTGTGCATGCTCAAAAATCCCAAGAGGAGAATGCAGGAGAAGGGACTGCCATGTGGCCATCCCCCTGGGGGTGATTTCTCATTTTACCTCTCTCTAGTGAGCCTGCATGCCCTATGGCAAAAACCTAAAAAAAGATAATAATAAATAAGCATATAGGAGGTTGTGGTTAAGTGAAATGTCTGTTGGTGTCACAAGCTCAGGCTCAGCCTTCAGAAATAAACAGAATAGTCAAACACAGTCTTATTTCCACAATGCTCAAAAAAGGACTTAGAATTTTAAATCAAAGCACTGGATTCTAGTTGTTAATGATCAAAAGAAAGAGGTGATCCACATAAAAGTCTTTTTTTTTAGGTTTTTGCCATAGGCTGTGTGTGCTCTCAGAGAAAGACAGAGAGAGAGAAAGTGAGAAATCACCCCCAGGGGGAGGCCACAGCAGCGTCTCCTCTTCCATTCTCTCCTTGGGATCCTGGACACACACGCACATACACTGGCATGAGTTTCAAGTCACGAGGTCCAAGGCTCCAACCACAGTCAGGAATGTGGGAATCCATAGCCTTAACCACCATGCCACCTGCTGGCCCCTCCACATAAACAACTTCTATAAAAAAATGTAATCCATACTTCAAAAATCTATTTATTCTTGGGAAATTAGAAGATAATTATATCCCTAAAATGAAAACAGAATGCTATGAAAAAGCAAACAATAAATAACTCTAAATTATTAAATACATGACTGGCAAAATAAAATTTCAATATAAGAGTGAGAAGACAAAGTCAAAGGAATAGCTCTGAAAAAGGGCAGGAAAAAAAGAAGAAATTAGGAATCAGAACAGTGATCCAGTGGTAAAAAGCAAAGCTCTGCAAGGCTGACTCTCATAGGAATGTTCCAGGTTCACATCCAGAGACCTTCCTGAGTACACCAGGCACATGCGTGACTATGACCTGGACTTGGCTGAGGCGAGAAGTGAATCTCAGCATCAAGACCCTGCTGAGAGGACTAGCAGAAGACATAATGGTTACATCACTGGACTTCCATGTAGTGGACCGTGGTTCAAGTTCCAGACCCAGCAGCTTAAAACTCACACTGAACACCTGTGCATGCATGTCCAAACTCCCAAGAGGAGAATGGAGGAGAAGGAATTGCAGCATGGTCATCCCCCCCTTGGGAGTGATTTCTTACTTTCTGTCTGTTCTCTCAGTCTCTCTGGCAAGTGCACAAGCCCTATAGCAAAAATCTCTCTTAAAAAGCAAACAACAACAACAAAAAAAAACCTGTTGTGGTAGCGTTGGTGTCTCTCTCTCACACAGAAGAAATAAGCTTTAAAGAAACCACTGAAAATTGTTTACTACTGGGACCAGCAGTTGGCATAATGGCTATGTCGCTGGACTCCCATGCAGTCAACCATGGTTTGAGTCCTGGACCCAGTGGCTTAAACTCACGCTGGGCGCGTGTGCGTGTGCACCCAAGATCCCGAGAGGAGAATGGAGGAGAAGGGATTGTGGGGTGGCCATCCTCCCTGGGGAGTGATAGCTCGCTTTCTACCTCTCTGTCTCTCTCTGTCTTTCTGGCAAGTGCATGTGCCCTAGAGCAAAAACCTCTACAAAAAAAATTGTTTACTACTAAACAAAGGAGTATGGTGAGATTACAATTTCTTCTCTACTAACTATTTTTAGCTAACATCAAATGAACTCTCTTTTTCCATACTTTAATGATAGATTAAAATTGTCACATTTCATTGTTTCCTGTCTGAACCTTGACTTCAGTGTATGTGTGTGTATTTTCTCCCTCTCAAATTTTTCTTTTGTTTTTTGTTAAGAGAGATTTTTGCTGTAAGGCATGTGTGCTCACCAGAGAAAGAGAGAGACAGAAAGTGAGAACTCATCCCCCAGAAGGCTAGCCACACCACAATCCCTTCTCCTCCATTCTCCTTTTGGGATTTGGGCACACACGCACACACCCCTGGCTTGAGTTTCAAGCCACCAAGTCCATGACCCAAACCACAGTCGGCCATGTGGAAGTCCAGCAATGTAACCACTATGCCATCTGCTGGTCCCATCTCCTTCTCAGATTTCTTAAATGACTTTTCTTTGGAGGAGACAGGGAGGCATCAGGCGCTTTAGATTTGGGGAATGAAGAAAAAAGTAAATCAAAAAGAAGCAAAAGATGTGAAGTCTACAGAAAGGCAGAGAGCAAAACTCACATTGAAAGGGAGTGACTAGTAGCTGTGGCCAACCAAAAAATATCTGTCAGGCTTAGGTTCGCCAGATTCCATGAGTGGAAGACAGCCTCACCTGTAAGTGTCTATACAGACAGAACTGCCAAAATGCCAAGCCAATTGATATGTCCTTAAATACCAACAACACAGTCCTACGCTTCTCTGAAAAACAAAATCATATACTTACCTGAAAGAGAACTGGCCAGGCTTCCTCTTCGTAACTTACAGTCATCTTGACTAAGCTGTCGTTGGAGTTTAGCTTTTCCAGTGGACGAAAATATGTCAGGGTTACTGAGTTTCCTAAAGAGCAGGGGACTAAGTCCAGTGACCATATCCTTCAAAGAGAAAAAGAGAATAAGGTAAGTCTTTAAGTTATCCTCTGAAGTATGAGAATGTTACATTAAACATCTCTACAATATTCCTTACAGTTAAAAAGTGCCAGGCCAGCCCTGTAGCCTAGTAAAGGGACCTACATCCCACAAGGCCAACCATGGTTTGAACCCCAGCTCTGGAAGACTGAAAAACACACAAGGCACAAGTAAAGCCTGGCCAAAATCCTAACAGGAGAGAGAAACAGAGGAAAAGGGATTACAGTGTGACAATACGTCATTGAAAGGGATGCTTTCTCCCTCTGGTGAGTGCACAAGACTACCGGCAAATTTTTAAAAAAGAAAGAAAAGGGCCAGCAGGCGTAATGGTGGTTAAGGTGTTGGATCTCACATAGCCAATCCCACAGAGTTCAAGGCCCGGACCCAGTAGCTTGAAAATCACACCAAGTATATGTATCTGTGTGAGTGCCAAAAAAAAAAAAAAAATCCCAAGAGGAAAATGAAGAAGGGACTGCAGCATGGCCATCCTCCTGAGGAGTGATTTCTCATTCCTGGCCCCTCCCTTTCTCCAGCGAGTGCACATGCCTTAAGGCAAACTAAAAAAAAGCACATGCACAAGCAAGTCACAGAAGACAGAAAATCCAAATAAACAATAAATATTGTATCTAAAAAAATTCTCAACTGGGACCAGCAGATGGTGTAATGGTTAAGTTGCTGGACTCCCACATAGTCGACCGTGGTTCGCATCCCAGACCCAGTAGCTTAAAACTCACGCTGGGCATGTGTGCACACATGTCCAAAATCCCAAGAGGAGAATGGAGGAGAAGGGATTGCAGTGTGACTATTCCCCATGGGGGAGGAGGGGGGTGATTTCTCGCTTTCTGTCTGTCTCTCTCTGTCTCTCAGTGTCTTTGCAAAACCTTCTCTTTTTTTTTTTTTTTTTTTTTTTGGAGAGGTTTTTGCTATAGGGCCCATGTGCTCACCAGACAGAGAGAGACAGAGAGACAGAAAGTGAGAAATCACCCCCCAGGGTGGATGGCCATGCCACAATCCCTTCTCCTCCATTCTCCTCTCGGGATCTTGGGCACGCACGCACATGCACCCAGCATGAGTTTAAGTCACTGGGTCCAGGACTCAAACCACAGTCAATTACGTGGGAGTACAGCTACATAGCCATTATGCCAACTGCTGGTCCCGCAAAACTCTCTCTCTTTAAAAAACAAACAAACAAACAAACTCAACCTAATAATCAGGGATATAGACTTAAAACATTGAGATGCCATTTAAATCTAGTAAATTAACAAAAGGTAGTAATATGATAACATCTAGAGTTGGCAAGGACACAGGGAATATCACTGATCAAAGTACAAATTACAATAGTACAACCACTTTAGAAAGCAATTTGGCAGAATACCCAGCAAGAGAAATGCTTACACATATGCACAAGGAGATAAGCCAAAGGCTATTTTCTACAGCACTATAAGAGGGACAAGAAAATAATCTAGTCCATTATGAGAATGAATACACTGTCATTTAAAGTAATGCACATAGCAGTTAAAAATTAATGAAATGGATCTGAATTTATTAACATAGATTGGGACTGGCAAACCTCAGCTGGCATGCCAAATCCTAACAATCGCCCATTATGTTCAGCCAGGAAGCTAAATACAGTTTTTACATTTTTAAATGACTGAAAACAAATCAGGAGACTAACATTTCATGAAATACTTTAAGTTTATTCATTTATTTCTTCACTGAATGTGAGACAGACAGCACCCACCACAGTGTCCCAACACCACGATCCACCCAGCCTTCAGTCAGTCCGGGTACTCATGAGGAGGTCTCTGGACTTGAACTGAGAACCTTCTCATGTAGGACTGCCTCACAGATCATCACATTTTACTACTACACCACCATCTAGCCCCATGAAATATTATTCTTGGAGCCAGCAGATGGCATGGTGGTTAAGGCACAGCATTTCCATATGCCCAACTGTGGTTCAAGTCTCAGAACCAGCACAACAAATAAATAGATAAATTTTTTTTTTTTGGAGAGATTTTCACTGTAGGACGCGTGCGCTCGCCAGACAGACAGAGAGAGACATAGAGACAGAAAGCGAGAAATCACCCCCCAGGGGGGATGGTCATGCCGCAATCCCTTCTCCTCCATTCTCCTCTCGGGATCTTGGGCACGCACGCACACGCGCCCGGCGTGAGTTTTAAGCCACCGGGTCCGGGACACGAACCGCGGTCGACTACGTGGGAGTCCAGCGACATAGCCATTACACTAACTGCTGGTTCCCTAGATAAATATTTTTTTAAAACGACAACAACAAATTATTCAAAGTATAGGAAATTCTAATTTCAGGGTCTATACCTAAAAGTCTATACCTAGAATATAGTCAACTAATTCATACTTATTTAGTATTGTTTTATGGATACTATCATCCTACAGTACCAGAGTTGAGTAACTAACAAAGACAGTATGACAAAGCCTAAAATGCTTGTTATTTGGTCCTTTACAGAAGTCTGCTTCTCTGTGACATACATTCTAAAAAAAACAATGTTGAGTGAGAAAAAGATTAAAAAGGATCTATACAGTAAGGAACTAATTTATTAAAATTTAAAAGCAAATACAGCTCCACCTTGATCACAGACAAGTATCTTTAGCAATGAAGTTTCTTCCCTCTAAAGCAACATTTAATTCACACCACCCACAGGACAGTGGTTTCCTCCTGGGGGAGAGGAAGGGGAAGGGAAAGAATGTTAACAGTACCATTAACACTTTACCCTCCCCCCAAAAAAAGAAAGCAAAAAAAAACTTCTAAAGCAAAAATAAGCACAAAGGTGTCTAATGTGCTTTCCTATAAGTTTGTAGTATTGCATAATTAAATAAATTTTTATACATTCAACCACTGTGTAACATTACAAGTTGCAAAATGAATTTTCCCAACATGAATCCACTATATATTAGCCCACTTAAAGACATTATCATACGTGGGACCAGCAGTTGGTGTAATGGCTATGTCGCTTTATTCCCATGTAGTCAACCATCGTTCAAGTCCCAGACCCGGTGGCTTAAACTCACACCAGCCGTGTGTGCATGCATGCCCAAGATCCCGAGAGGAGAATGGAGGAGAGGGCATTGTGTTGTGGCCATCCCCTCTGGAGGGTGATTTCTCACTTTCTGTCTCCCTGTCTCTCTCTATCCTTCTGGAAAGCACAAGTGCCCTATAGCAAAAACCTCTCAAAAAACAAAACAAAACAAACAAAACACAAAAAAAGACATTATCACACACATTATCATCAACCGATAATTTTCCACTTTTGTGCCCCTTAAATGTTTTCTTTCTTTTTTCCCTTGATTCCCTTCCTCTCACCCTCTGCCATTTCCCACCCTCCTCCCTCTGTCTCTAGTATAAATGAGAATGAAAATTGTCAGAAAAGGAACCAGCCCTAACACTGCAACACACGCAGGTGCACAGTAAAGGAAGCCAGATCATCCCACAGGGCTGACCAGAGTTTGAGTCCCCACCCTGTTGGCCTCATGCTGAACACATGTGCCCATGCCTAGTCTTCTGACAGGATAGAGAACCGGAGGAAAAAAGATTGCGTGTGACCAGCCACAATAGGGGATGTTTTCTTTATTTTGCTCCCTGTCTCTTATGCAAGTACATGCCCTCCAGCATAAAAATAAAACTGCCAGAAATGATTACCAAGTCAGAATTGAACTTTTTTAATGTGGCAACAGAAATATTATAGACATAAAGACAAACAGAAATACAAGATCAATACTTTTTTTTCAAGACACTCAAAACCTTCATTTAGAAAACACGGTACCATGGCCTAACAGTGGTAGCATGTACTGGACACTGCTACTCAGCAGGCTAAGGCCACGTGGGAGGCCCAGGTTCAATTCCCAGCCCACCCTACAAAGGCCACACTGTAGTACATTCCTGTAGTCCCAGCTACATCAGGAGACTGAAGCAGGAGGATTGCTACACAGTAAGATCCTGTCTAAACCACCACACACCCTCCTGCACACACACACACACACACACACACACACACACACACAAAACTGAGACGGATTAAAGAAACATTTGTGGGCCAGCTGGTGACATGGTGGCTAAGGCAGCTGGATCCTACATGACCAACTGCATGGTATAAGTTCTAGACCCAGAAGCTTGAAAAACACACCAGAGGCATGTACATGCATGCTCAACATCCCCAAAGGAGAGAGAAATGGAGGAAATGGGATTGCAGCGTGACCTTCTACCCCCACGGTAGTCTTTCCCTGTCTCTCTCTACCTCTCACCAGTGAGTGCACACATTCCGGCAAATTAACAGAGAGAGAGAAAAACGCTTGCTTTAAAATATGAAAAGAAAATTTAGCAGGAAAAACAAAGGCAGAGATTTTTGTACAAAATCATAAAGGCAATGAAAGTACAGAAACATGAATCTAATATTAATTTCCAATTCATAAATTCCAGTTTATAGGACATGAATAGAAAGAAGGAAAGGAAGGGACAAAGGGAATACTACAGAAAGGCTGGGAAAGGATGGCCTTTTTGAGGAAGTGATATGTGAACAGAGACCTAAACCAAACGAGAAAGTCAGCTACAAACACATACCTGAACAAAGATCATCTCTGATAGGGAAAATTACAAAGTCCTCAAATAATCTTTTTTTGTTTGTTTTTTAAGACCGGGTCTCTCTATGTTGAGATCCTCCTGCTGTAGCCTTCTGGTAGCTGGGACTACAGGCACACGCCACAGCACCTGCAGAGGGGGCCTCCCATGTGACCTCAGCCTACCAAGTTGTAGTGTCAAGCAGCACGCATTACCACAGCTGGGCCTATATATTAAGTTTCCTTTTATGTTGTTCTTAATGTCCTCAGGCAGGAGCATGCTTAATATATTTGAGAAACACCAAAGCTGCCAGTTTGCCTAGGGCTCAATGAACGAGAGAAGGCCAAGGGCCAGACCATATCAATTTTTTTTTTATTTT